TGCTTGAAATATCTATTGAATTGATATCAAGAATTAAATTTTGAAAGCTTCTTAATATTGTACATGTGCTTGTGGAAAATGAATTAATTGGCAGAGTAATCATTTACAATTGATTGTAATCGATTGTAAATGATTATAATCGATTGTAATCGCTGCAGATCGATAGACAATGGGTAATCGATTATAATAAATAATCATTTATCATCGATTATTAATTATCAATGAGAATCGATTATTGATTGTAAACGATTACCCATTGTTTATTGATCTGTAGTAATTACAATCAATTGTAATCATTTATAATCGATTACAATCGATTATTTAAAATCAATAATCATCGATTATAGATGTTCACCAATTTTAAACAAAAAATCGATTATATTTAATTTTAATAATCATCGATTATATCTGATTGCAATCAATTATAATTGATTATTAACAATCAATGATAATCAATTATTGATTATTGGATAATAATCAATTATAATAATTTCCTGATGATATTATATAGTATTAAGTCAATATTACATAAGTGTGAGAAGTGATTATCTATGCTTTCACCATTACTATTTGAATTGAATTTTGATAAGTCTCCCAGCATTTGAGATGATAGATTTTTGTATTGATATAATTCCCACTATTCCATTCACCCTTTACATTAAATCTTATATTTTCTTTTTTATAATCTTTATTATATATGGAACATATTTTTGAATAAGTAAAGTAATCACCATGTTTATTATTATATTTCAAAGATAAATCAGTGAACTGCTCTAGCACTTTATTAATAACATGTTTTTGTTTCTCTTTCAAATCATCAGATAAAATAAAGATTAGAGGTCAAGATTTATTGTTAAAGACAGTTACAAGATGACTAAATGTAGGTATACTTACTTCAGCTTCTGGTAATTTTGAGAAAGCAGAGTTTCGAGCCTTTGACTCATCTTGATTTTTTTCTTGGGATGAATTTAAAGGAATCAATTTAGTAGGTATACTTATCTCAGTTTCCAGTAAAGATTTATCTTTTTTGCTTATTTCATTTTCTGAATTAGAGATATGAGATAATGGAATAGAGGGATGAAATGTTTCTGAATTTTGATTGTTTCCATTATTACTTTCTGAGCCATGATTTTTCTGATCACTTCCTGAACTCGGTTCAGGGATTTTAGATTTTGAAGTAGATTCTATCTCAATATTATAGTCAAATGGCACATTATCTATAATGTATCAAATGTCCTTATTTGTCATTTTTGAGATACTATCAGCGGAAAAGGAATGTATTCGATAAATTTTATCCATATCTATTGCATTGAAAAGTTTGTAGAGTTTTTTAGCCTTTTTAATTCTCTTCCATAAAAGCACGTCAGAAATATTTATAGGAAGCTAAGCACGAACCTCTTTATTTAAAATTCTACTAACTGTATTAGATTCTGGGTTAACTTGTTTTTCTGATGCTATTTCATTACATCTTTGGATAAGAGCTTTACCAAAATTACAATAACAGAAGATTGCTTCTTGAGTTTTATTATCAGCAAGAATTATAGCATTACAAAGCTTTTCATATAGAATCATGAAGCTAGTATTGGTGGGTTAATATGATGCGAAGCATGGAGTCTTTGACTCTTCTGTTTCATTCAAGATTGTAGATATCACATCTCTGTCTGCATTACCATTACTAATAAAATCAGTATAATGTAACTGCGAACTAGAGCTTTTAGAAACTTCTGACATAAATTTCTGTGCTTTATTTTTATTAGATTATTCGAAGACGTCTCTTGATCTCGAAGTTTCTTCTTCCTAATGCTCTGAATTATCTCTTTACTAACTTTTTCTTTATATGTTGAATCCAGGAATTCATCTTCCTTTTCTTCCAACGATTTTAGCTCCGTATGTATAGGTAATATAGAATATTGGTGTGAGCCTACCTTTATCCAAGACGAAGGTTCCAGACATACATCAGAATTTGAAGCGTTATCAGTTATATTCGATGCCGGCGCATTCTTACTTTGTGAGACTATTTGTTTATGAGTATCGTTAGAATTTGTTTCAGAGATACAGAACATCGATCATCATTTTCCTGGCATATATTGGAACTATTTTCTACCTGTTCAGAAATATTAGAATTTGCCATTCCAGTAGGAGTGGTATTAACAGAAGATTGTTTAATTTTCTTAATTTCATCGTCTAACTTTGCAATATGGATAGTCTTTTCTTTATCATTCTGCTCTAGATTCACGAACCTAGCTTCATAATCTTTCAAAGTTTGTTTTAATTCGATATTCTCAGCCTCGATCTCAGAATACTTTTTTCTAAGTTCGGTAATCTCAGCTACAAGCTTGGAATTTTGTTCTAATAAATTGTTTTTAGATTCTGTATTTGCCATTTTTTATATAAGATGCAGATTTATTCAAAACCTTTTTATTATGCAAACATGTAAGTTATTCACGCGATTAAAATTTGCGGGATGGGCCGTCTCGGAAAAATGCCAAGAAAAAATAATTACGATTGATATGTTTACAGTATATGCGAAAATCTTTATTAATCCCAATGATCAATGATATATTTACATTAAAAATTAGTATAAGACTACGCGGATACAAATCGTGTCTATATAAACACAGAACAATAATAATCTAATCTATCTATACTACTCGTACTATTCAAGATCGGGTAGAGGATCCTCAGTCTTTAAACCGTGTTTTGCTCGCCTTAAATCTAAAGTATTTTATTAGCCACGAATATTATTTTTTAGCTTATAATCATGTAATTAAATAATTTACCGATATGTCCTCTCCTACAATCGGTGGATGACAGTGGAACTCGAATCTGATTGGCTTTCGGTTTGTCGAGTCTAACCTGACGATTTAATCCATGAGCATCGTTTAGGTCTTGTCGAGGGATTATAGGAACAACCGATCCATTCACATCCCGCTCAATTCCATCTTTTCGATCTTTGTAAATCTCGGTAAAATTACGCAGAACATACTATGAACGAAATAAACGATACTGTGCCGGATCCCTCGAGTTACGGGAAAATTTCCATGGAGTAGAAGCCGTGAGGAAAATGCGACGACTTGTCCAGGCTTGAGAGGTATTACGAGCTGGAGTTGCGGGAAGCAAAGTTCACCTCCATCAAAATCTCCAAGAGCGACCAAGCAACATAGTGAATTCGGCTCGTCATGCTCATCCCAGTGAAAATCACTTCTTGTGTTGAAATTGATCGCGATCATCGGAATGGTCTTGCTTGCTCAGGTGGTTGTCCGTACCAGTGATAATTCTATGAAGCCTTAATCTGAATTTAAAAATAAATAACATATTTCGAAATGGAGATTTGGTTACCTATAGCAGGCTCGAATTACTTTATTTCTAATATTGGACGTGTCAAAAATGGAAATGGCAGGATTTCAGAAGGAAGTATTTTGAAAGGGCATGGTTATATACGAGCAAATATTAATATCAATGGACTTAATACGAAACCTTATATTCATAGACTTGTTGCAGAAGCATTTATTTCCAATCCAGAAAATAAACCTTATATTAATCACAAAAATGGTTATAGAGATGACAATCGAGCAGATAATTTGGAATGGGTAACTCCTAAAGAGAATGCTGAACGTAAGGTATTCCCAAACCGTGGTCGTGGCAGATCCAGAAAAATTGTTCAGAAAACTTTGGATGGAAACGTTGTTCAAATTTGGGATTCAATAACTCTTGCAGGTTATGCACTTAAGATTTCGAGAAACCATATTTCGGCATGTTGTAGTAGAAAGCGAAATATTGCTGGTGGATGTATTATGAGGATTATATAGAACAAGATCCTAATGAAGAATGGAGAGAAATAGAGGTTGATTTACGAAAATTTAAAGTTTCATCTCTCGGAAGAATTCAGTTATGCAATGGTTTAATCTCTCGAGGATCATTACACTCAGGGTACCTCCGAGTTGAGAAATATTATATTCATCGGTTGGTAGCATTAGCATTTTGTCTAAAAGAGCAAGGAAAAGATTATGTAAACCATTTGGACGGACGTCCCACCAATAATAAAGCTTCGAATCTTGAATGGTGTACCCCAAAAGAAAACTCTCAGCACGCTGTTCACCTCGGACTTTGGGGTCATTGTCATCGACGTGCCGTCAAACAGGTTTTCGATGATGGCTCTACTCAAGAATTTCAATCCATATCTGAAGCACAACGCATAACTGGAATTGATGGATCATATATTGGAAAAGTTTGCAAAGGACATAAAGCTCGTGCTGGTGGATATCATTGGGAGTATGTAGTACAATAAGTATTGAGATATGTTCATATGTTTTTTCAGGTTAATTACATTAAAAAGATCTTTTTACTTTATCTGATTAGCAATGTGACGAAGTTCTTCTGGAATCTGGCCACATATCTGCATCACCTTTATATCTAAAATTTATGGATTTATCTCGTTTAGTGATGATGTAAGATATTTTTGATTAGATCATTTTTTTCGTTCGATTTTCTTTCACTTACGTGAAGAGGATAAAAGAACCAACAAGTGAAACTCACCTTATTTTTATATGATTTGTAGCAATACTCGCGGTTCAAGGATCCTAAATATTTCGACTGAAAATCAAATATGATTGACAGATTAATGAATTACTCCACATTTGAAAAAAAATATTGTTAAGCAGATCACACGGGATTTAGTATAACTTTATTATTTTTTTCATTAACATTAAGGCTAGAAGGCCATTACAAATGCAAAAACAGAGAATAAATGCTTATAATAAATATTTACGCTATGTGAACATCAGTGGTGGTGGATTTTCATAATCATCACTAAACTGTCTAATAAGTTGATCTATTTGTGGTTGTTCATCTAATCTACACGAGTTTCTTAACATCCTTAACCCTCTGCGGATATCCATATTAAATAATTCCTGTCTTGACATGTCACCAACAATGTCTGCTATTCTGTCTTCATTATCAGCTTCAGGTATGTGTTCGAAAAACTTCGTTCTCTTTTGAAGAGGTGCAGGTAGGTTGACTTCTACTTGATAGTCGGCATCCCTTCCTAACCAATTAAAAAGCTTGTTTCCTTCTTCAAGTACGAACTGTTTAATTACCGCCAAGGCAATACCACGGTCACCAATTTTAGACTTTACTATGCATTTTTCACTGTTTCTATCTCCTACCGTCATGAAAAAGAAAATATTCCAATTATCATTGCAATCCGTCAAGACAGTCATCGAATTTATAGGATAGAGTTTATCTATTAATAATAACTCTCCCATGGCTTGACCTTCTTTGAAATCCTCTTTTCTTTTCTTAGTTTCAAGCCAGACGCAATCCGTTTCAGTTGGTCCAATGGATATGTCGGCACCACCCGTTAAAGTGACGTTCGCTTCTCGCAAATTGTGTTGATGGTTCACTTGCGTATGGATATCTTTCACATGGAAATTCCTTGGTAACCCTAGTGCATTTTTAAGCCATGTCCTAACCTCATGCATCTGCTGAGCTTCCTCCCTTTCCACATCCCATACGAATGGTTGACATAACATGGGTTGAAGTGGTTGGAAGTCTTCCTCTGATAACTAGACAATAGATAAGTAATTATATTAATAATATTAATAATACAGAAAAAAAGTACTTACTTTTACTGTCTTTACTCTAAGATCACTCATAATTTTATTAATCTTTGTTTCAGAAAGATTGGATACTGAGATCTGATCAGCAGGCTTTTGCCGGGAGAATTCTTCCCGCATTGCACTTTTTTTTACGATCTCGCTTAAAACTTCTGGTGATCCTTCATGTTTACGTTTTAATGTCACTGTAGTAAAAGCCAATATCGCAAAAACATATAACTATTTTAACCTGTTAATCATCGCTTCTTTCCCGATACATACCAGGTGCATTTACAATGACTTGTAGAGGTGTCCTCGAGTTATTCTCGAAGCTCTGGTCCACAGCAAGTCCAGGATCTAGGTCTGTTTCTTCACCGTGCCTTCTTAACACAATGCGGTTAAGGGCCACCTCATCCAAATCGGGTGACAGTTTCTTCTTGATCGCTTCTTTCAAGTCGTCTACAATCTCTCCATCAAAAGAAATTCGAGTTGGCTGGCCGTCATACTTGACCCAGATTTTAGAAGGGGTTGACGAAGAACCTAAGTGAAAGCCCTCGAGACCTATTTTTTTCGCAAAGGTAATGAGTGACTTCTCCACAAAAAATAGCTGTAATGAGTTTACTTACCACTAGATAGTTCCGTTCGTAGGAGAGGAGCATTTTCAAATATTTCGGCGCCTCTGCCTTGTGCGGTTATACCAGATGTGCCAGATGTACTAGCAAAAGCAGGTGGGACGTCCTCTACGGAAGATATTCTTCATTAAATATAATGAATTGTTTCTTCACAAACAATGCTCGAAAATACATGTACTTTACCTGTAGCTTTTTTTTTCCGAGACTTTTTCGGTTTTGGTGGCATCGTTTTTGAAAAATGTTACGGAGCACAACATCATGATTAAACACTTATCATGTGTATCACAGCCGACTACCCCAGCGTGACCTACAAAGATGCACCAATCAGAATAGATTAATTTATTAGCCAATCAATCATCACCCCGTTCGATGTTCCGATTGTTATGTGGGTCGGCTAGTCGATTTAGGATATGTAAAAGACTATTTGTTTCACTTTAGTTTTTCTTCTCTTGCTACTTGAAATGCGTGGTAAACCTTGACTCCTTTTGCGTGGTGATTATCTATCTATAAGATGTTTGATAGTTTTCTGATATTGTTACTACTGACGTTTGTCTTCTCCATTGGTCAGTTTATTGACATTTCACATGCCTACTAACCATTTTAGTGAGCACAATTCTTGCCAGCTAGTTTTAATCAAATCAGTCCCTCTTTACCATTTTACTTACTCTCGTTGCTGTTCTTCTATCCGGTGAGCTTGCTATGTTTAGTTGTTGATGACTATTCCCAGTTCTCTGGTCATTTTCCTTTTGGCGTTGCGTTGTCAGTAGGTTACCAAATTTCTCTGAGTTATACAAGCTGCCGTTAGTGTTAACTGGGCTTTATAATATTGCCGGCGAGTATCTTGATGTTCTCTTTTCTGCTTCTTTGTGTGGTTTTGTTGCTTCAATTCCGGAATGTGATAATTTTTAGCTTAACTATTGAATTTGACTTACTGATGTGATCTCGTTACTATTACCATTATCTAGTCATCACAAATTCAACTTTGGATTTTGTCGATTATGATTTGGTTGCATTTTGTTCTTGCTGGTCAGTTAATTGTGATTGTTGGTGATTCTTTGCTTCGATTGGTGATGTCGTATGAAGTGATTTTTAACTGGAATCGCTAGTGTTCCGTAAAAACTTCCGTTTCTGTCAGATTTTGATTTAAAAGTATTGGATGTATTGCCGTTTTCACTATTTTTTCATTATGATAATTTCCTTTGTCTATTCAAAGTGGATAGTGAGATTTTAATATTTAGTTCTTCAGGCCACGCAAATTTTGACATTGATTACTTTGTTGTTGCAAACTTCTTTACAGTTATATTCTGCGATCAAATTCTGATTATATCTTAATTTTCTAAGTTACTATTGACATTATCAATGACAGAGTACGTGTTATTTTTATTTTTGGCATTGTGTATTATTTAATGATAAAAACTTATCATCTTTAATAATTTTTTTAGTCTTTAATATTCACGTTATTTGATAATATTCATCCAACCAAATTACTTTCGCTATTACTGCTTTTATTCAATCTCATGAATTCGAGTTTGCAGATATTTTTTAAAATAAGTAAGGTCTCAAAATTAATGATTTTCAGATTAGCGCGTGCTCAAGATTTTTTTAACGTATTGCTTTAGTCCATCAGTTTTTTTTTTACATATTTATCTATAATGTCATCAATACAAACATTGACTTGTTCACATTGCTGAAATAAAAAGAAGCTCGAGGAGTTTGGTGTATACAAAACAGGCTATTTTAAAACTTGCAAACTGTGTCGTGAAAAACTTGGCTTACCTTCAGCACGTAACAATAGTATAATAATAAGCAATCAACAGACAAATAAATCTAAAGAGTCTTGCGAAAATGATACCATTTTATCTACCAGTGAAGATGATATATTGTTACATGATATAATCGAGCTAGAGGATTTGGAGGACTTCATATCAACTGAAATTGAAGCATACGAGAACAATTCAATTGGAATCGAAGTAAATCTACATATTCATTTGTCAAATAATAATAAAATTAATAATGATACCAATTATAATAGCAGTGATAACAATATCAATAATAATGATAATATAAGTCTTACTTTTCAAAAAGTTATTGAATCTATTCAAATCGCTGATGGTTATAAGTGGAATTATATACGTCAATACAATAGTATCAATAGAAAATAATCACGATGGTACACTTGCTCTTTGTCTTTTCAACAAGATCATACTGTACTAAATCCTAAGCGTATTTATACAAAACAAGAGCATTTCACTTGTTATGATTTATTGTGACTTATTCTTAATTCAGAAAATATGATTATGCATCTTCACTTGTGTCATCATGAGCTTCATTCACGTCCAGTTACAAAAGAAAATGTTAACGAAAACATTATAATATTCATTAAAAATAATATTCATCTTACTTCAAGACAACTTTGGGAGCATTTGCAACATCAATCACATACCTTAACGCAAAAACAGGTCCATTTTTGGTGATCTACATTTCACCAAAAACTCTTCTATCGTGATAATGATCAATTTACTTCAGCAACATATCTTCTACAAGAAGATGAAAGTTACTCTCTACTATATAGCAATCAAGAAAATGAACTTTTCGAATTTGCATTCACCACACCATTTCTACAATTGTTATATGATATATATGATGAAATATGTATGGATGCCACATACAAAACAAATAATACAGGGTTCGAGCTTTATACAGTTATGGCAAACATCGAAGGCGTGAGCTATCCGTTATCATACTTGTTTTTGAATTCTTCACCAACTACACCTAATATGCGCACCATGGCTTTAACTGATTATCTATATGCATTACAAAAACAAGAAGTCAAGCCTTTCTTTCTCTTCACCGATAAAGATTTTGCTCAGATCAATGCTATGAAAAAAGTTTGGCCTGATACAAAAGTTCAATTATGCCTATGGCATTTGCGTCATGCTGTTTTGCACAGGCTACGAAATAAAGAGTGTCCAAAGAAAATAATATATGATTCAAAAGCGACACATAAAATCTTTAGCTTTATTGAATTCACATTTATTCCTTTTACAGATGCACAATACTTCTGTCTGTCATCCTTACATAATCAAGTATTGACTTTAATGACAGAACACTTTAATTATCACTCAAATATTCCCATTGGTATCTCTGAAACATTTTAACGCCATCTACGATCTATGAAATTGCTACAATAACAACATATAATTTCTGTATTGATAATAATCTTCTGCATTTGTGGACATATCTTTGAATCGAATGGTATCAACCGGAATGGTGGCATCTTTGAGCATGATCTACTAGTTCTACAATTCCATTGGCACATACAACAATGATCATTGAGACTCATTGAAAATCATTTAAGCATAATTTTTTATATCAGTTTAATCGTCCTCGTCTTGATTTACTTGTTTATATTATTACCAGTCGCTTTGTATTACAATTAATTACCAAATATAATCTTACTCTTGCTGGTCGTATTGAAGCTGCATGGAAAAAAGATTTCAAAAAAACTTGGCGATTTTTGGCAAAAAAAATAATATCACAACCGGCACAATATTATACAGATACTCAAAGATAGATATGCAGTTGTTCAGCTTATTTAGTTAGTCAATTCATGTTGTGTAAGCATCTCATTGATGTCGCAGGTGGTAATTCAATCCATCTTTCCTCTGTACGCTAATATACACAATATCCTTATATATATCTTGCTCATATTAATACTAAACCATCAATAATTGAGTTCAATTGGAGCAATATTGATTCGAACTTGAACAACAATATTGATATTGGTTCTCTTTTACTGCTTATATTATCCAACAATGAAAATGACGCATCAGATCAGTTTCAACAAATGGTTAATGAATTAAAAGATTTAGTTGCTGACTTACAAAATGAAATTATCAATGGTAATAATCATCATTTGCAAGTTGTACAATGACATATACAGAAAACACTAAAAATTGCAAGAGACATCAAAACACACCACAATCGTCTTACAAATGGTCAAACATGAAAAGCTAAAAAATGGATGATATTTTTGTCTTGATTGTGGGTATATTTTTCATGACGTTGACAAATCTCACACATTGTATATAGCCAGTTAATATTTTTCTTTAAATTTTACTGCAATTAACGAGTTATATACTTTTAAATATCAATATATAACAATTAAATTTCTT